GGAACAGCCAGCCTAACACACTGGGCAAAAGTAGGTATGTTTACCCTGAGAGCGTGGACTATTCCTCTCCCCCTGTGAATGCCAGATGCCACAAAATACCACACGTACAGTGCAATTGAAACTTTGTGGCCCATGTGCAGAAGTTGGTATTTTGTGGAAGAGCCACAACTCAAGGGGCCAAAGAGCCGTAGTTTGATGACCACTGCATCAAATCTCACAGAAGTGAACAGTGCTATTCATTAGGCATGGTGTCAGATTCCTCGCATCACCTTGCAACATCTCGTGGAGTCAATGCCAAGAAGAATCGCCTCAGTATTGAAGGCAAAAGGTGGCCCAGCGATGTGCTGAGGGGGTGGTCATAATAATCTGGCCACTCGAGTGTGAGAGTGTGTGTGTGTGTGTATCCCACGTTCAAAGGCTGTTAAATCGAGCTGTTTACCCAATATCTTCAGAAAAAAATCACTTCTACTGTCGTGGTAAACAACCTAGTTCCCTACTTTGAATGGTCTGGCCCCCTAGCAACTTCAGCGCAAAATTATAGCTAATTTGCCTACAAACGTCAGATGATCATAATAATCTGGCCACTCAGTGTATATGTATATACATGTTTTTATTGATTTCAGAGAGGAACCGAGAGGTAGAGAGAGTTAGAAACATCAATGATTAGAGAGAATCACTGATCAGCTGCCTCCTATACACGCCCACTAGGGATGGAGCCTACAACCCACGCATGTGCCTTGACTGGAAATCGAACTGTGACCTCCTAGTTCATAGGTCAACGCTCAACCACTGAGCCATGCGGGTCGTGCAACAGTGATCAGATTTATCCCTCAACCATAAACTAAAAAACTGGACAACATATAGCTTACAACTGAGAAACACATGAAGCAGCTTCTGTGATGGCCCCAGCTTTCTGCATGGAAATACACTGCAGACTGCACAACAGGTAGAGGGGATCTAAGCAGAGTATAGTGGTTTCATGGAATTGAGGAAACAAACCCCCCAGAAGTGAAGTTCAGAAGCTCAGGTGATTGGAAATTGTGAAGAATTCTCCAGAAAAGGGAGCCATATAGAAATCTTCATGACATACTCTTACGCAGGGGTTCTCAACCTGTGGGTCGCGACCTCTTTAGGGGTCAAACGACCCTTTCACAGGGGTC